GTTCAAGGCATATGTGAGCGGCGTTTCGGCGAGAATCACCTGTTGAAAACCACCTGTGACCCACCGATGTAACTGCTACGAACGTTTAGGACGAATGCGCGCGGCGCTGGGGCGAGAGGCACATGTGGACCCCCCCCATATCCGTAAAGCTGTGCCAGAGGTCAGGCTTCAAGATCCGAAATGGCGAGGAGGTCTCAGGTACAACGCTTGGGCCGCCTCACGTCCCCCCCCATATCCGTAAAGCTGTGCCAAAGGTCAGGCTTCAATATCAGAAATGGCGAGGAGGTCTCAGGTAGAACGCTTGGCCCGCCTGACCTTCACGTCCGGAGGTGACTTGGGAGTAGTTGTGCACAGGGAAGAGGGATGGAGAGACCATTACGTCTTGGAGTTTATCCAGTTGCGCTTCCGCGCGAATCCGGCACCGCGCTCGGGCGTGCGCCAGGTTGGGTTGGGAGGGAACGCCTGGGGGGCGGGCGGGGGAGGCGAGCGCCGGGGGAAGGGGAAGGTGCTATGGGACGCGGCTGTCCGCAAACAACTTGCTCGCACTGACTTGGTGCTCTGCACGAAGCAAGATAACGAAAACACGCAAAGGCCCGACACACATGATGTTGCGTCGGCGGCTGGGCAGAGGGTGACTGATCTGGCGGATTGGCAGCAGGGGGAACGCTGTATGCAAATTAAGGTCGCGATGCACGGAAGGAGGAGGAGGAGGAGCCCCGCCGCGACAGGAGAGAGGAACCCGAGCCACTCAGAGCTGCAGGCTGCGGCGGGGGGAGCGCCGAATGGGGGGACCAGCGTCGGAACTGAGCTGCACTGGGCTGCATTGGGCTGAAGTTGGGGGGAGGCAGCATGGAGCTGCACGTGGTGGTGCAAAAGACAACGAAACAGGGCCCGACCCAAGAACCGAGCACAGTCCAGAAATGAGCCAGTGCGCCAAGACCTGCCGGCCTACAAGCGCGTGCGGGGAGGTGGAGGGCGGAGAGGCCCGCATGGGCTGCCGACTGCGGCGGGGCGGATCGCCGCAAGTGGGAACCAGCGCCGGCACTGAGCAGCATTGAGCTGAACAGGGCTGAGGCCGAAGTGGGGGGCAGCACTGCGCTGCAGCTGCGGATGAAGAGCGCGATGTAGCAGAGCCCCAACCCAGTGAACCAAGGCACGGTCCACGGATGAACCGAAGCGCCGAGACCTGCGGGCCTGCGAGGCGCGGGCAGGGAGGGGTGGATGGCAATCGACGGCGCCGCGCAGCAGTGAGCGGCACAGAGCCGAAGCGGGAGCGGGCAACCCGCGGAAGGGCGGCGGTAGGGGGAGCAGGAAGAGCAAAGCAGAGCCCCGGCCCGTTGCCGAGGAGAGAGCACCCCGAACATCGGCAACGGTGGGGAGCGCCGAGACCAGGAGGAACAACGAGGCGCAGGGTGACGGAGAATGGCGACCCAGAAGCGGAACCACACCGGGGTGCGGCACGGAGCTGGGGGCGCAAGGGAAGGCGGGCGGAGCAGTTGAGAGGACCACGCCAATAGGGGCAGCGACGTGGTCCAGGGAGGCCAATGGAACGGGACGTGCGCCGAGACCAGAGGGCCTATTAGGCGCAAGCTGCGATGGCTTGGCAAGGCGCCGCAGAAGAGCGGCAGCGACCAGCACAACAGTAACCGGTGGATGGATGCGAGGCCTGAAAACCAAGCAAAAGGGGAGCCACTGAATATGTGCAAAGACGGTTACGGAGCACTCCCTGCGGCTAGGGGCGCAACCGTCGCAAAAGCGCCACGGCGCATGGAAGGCTTGCTGCGGCCCGCCGGTGCAACCGCAGAATCAGGGAGGCGACGAGGCCAGGGAGCGGAGAAAGCTGCGAAGGAAAACGGCGCCGCGTCGGCTGGAGCCCCTGTTGCCCTCACCTCGCTGAGAGCAACGAAGGCCCAGGCCGCACTGGGTCCGCCGCCGGCTCGCTGCATGTCCTTCATTGTGGCGGCCAGGGCCCCGTTGGCATTGAGGGGGGTCGCGGCAAAGGACACCCGAGACAGGGGTGGCACTCTCCCCGCCCTGGGGGGTGCCGCGGTAATCCTCGGCGCTTGAGCTGCCAGCATCCATCGCCACATGGACGGGGGGGTTCGGCGAAGTGACCGTGGAAGGAGGGGGGGGCCAAGCGCGATGCCCGCCGGCGCTGCCCTGCGGCCGGGCGAGCGCAGCCTCGGCGGGACGCACGGTGCGGCGCCAGGCGCCGTCCCGTCTGGGCAGCGGCACGCTATCCACACGCGTGGGACGGCGAACTGGGGTACCAATGTCCAGCCGCAATCTTTCCGTGGCGAAGAAGACCTTCTCCCTGGGCCAGCAACCCTAGTGCCACCACGCGTCCTAGCCGAGGCGTCACCGAACAAGAGTCGGGCCCAGCGAGACCCCGGGGGGAGAGGGCCCAGTAGACTGCCGAGTCTGGGGCGATGCGGTTCTGGTAGGGGCGGTCCTGGCACAGGGGGTGTTTATCCGCCGTGGGGGCAGCGCTGCTTCGCATCGATGCAGGCGGCCGCGGCTGGGGGGTCGTCAGCGGCCCCCGTACCCAACGCCTGCTCCCCGCCTCCTCCGCCAGGGGAGCTCTGGCCGTGGGGTTGTTAGTGGTCTTCGCCGCAAACCTCTTCTGCCACCCGTCACCGGGGCCCTCGGCCTTCTGAATATGCTCCTTTCCAACCGGGGGGGCAACTCGGCGAGGCCGTCGCGGGCCAGGACGAGTCGGGCGCCCCAGGAGAGCTCTCGGCAAGGGGCGCCGCGGCGTGGAGAGGGCCCCGATGGGATGATGGCGACTGACCCTGACCTTCCAGAGAGCTATTTTTTAGCACGGGAGGCCTAAAAACCTAAAACACGAAACGAAACAGCCTAAAACCAAGACATATAATAGCTCTTGGATAGGTTTTTAAGTCGCGTGCTATTTTTTAGCCCTCCTGGAAGGTCAGGGGAGTTGGGGGTACGCTGGCGGCCCCCACAGCCGATTTTCCTTGTCTGTCATCTCCTCTGTTGGGGGGGGGGGCGGCACGCGGTGGCCACCGCCTGTCGGGGCGAGTCGGGCACCCCGGGAGAGCTCTCAGCGACGCGCGCAGTCGAAAGGCAACTCGGGGGGGGCAGTCGCCCGCCGGGACGAGCCAGGCGCCCCGGGAGAGCTTCCGGCGAGTGGCACAGCGGCGAGAAAGGGGGCCGCCCTGCCCTTGCTCCTGGGCGTGGCCAGGGGCAGTCCGGGCGTCGTCTCCCGCGTGGTGGCTGCCGCCAAGGCACCGGGGCCCTCCGTCTCGCTACTCGTGAACGCCCCATCGGGGCTCGAGGGTACCACCGTAGCCTGGCGGGGGGAAGTGGCAGCGTCGGCGCCGTCGCCTGGCACTCCTAAAGCTGTCCTCGGGCTGGCTGCAGTGAGACGGGGGGGGGCACCGGATAGGTGCACGATGAGAGAATGCATGATGGCTGCAAGGGGAGGGGGGGGGCGCCGAATGGGCGCACGATTGGAGAATGAACGGGCCCTCCCTGCAGCCGGAGGCGCATTCCGTAGCGGAAGCGCCCCGGCGCACGCAGGGCCCGCTGCCGCCTGAGGGCGAGGATCGCAAGTGCTGTCTGACGTCGCTTGCTTCTCGCCCCCTCCGCCGGGGGGGGGGGGGGGCGCGTAGCGTAGCGGCGTAGGGGGGCGGCCCCTGGGACCCCTGGGCGTTGCTCTCGGCCTGGAGTCCAGCGGGCTCCTCGTGAAGCTTCTGCTTCCCTCCAGCGTCACAGCACGCCGGCACCGGCACCCCGGGAGAGCTGTCGGCGACGCGAGCATTCGGGGGCCAATTCGCCAAGAGGAGGAGGAGGAGGAGGAGGAGGAGGAGGAGGAGGAGGAAGAGGAGGAGGAGGAGGAGGATACGGGACGAGGAGGAGGAGGAGGAGGATGAAGAGGAGGAGGAGGAGGAGGAAGAGGAGGAGGAGGAGGCGGAGGGCGGAACGAGTCGGGCGCCCCAGGAGAGCTCTCGGCAAGGGACGCAGCCGCGAGACGGGGGCCCACCTGGGCGCGGCGGGGGGGAGTCCGGGCGTCGTCTCCCACGCGGTGGCCGCCGCCGGCGCCTGCACCCTCCCTCTCGCCAGATCGAAGTGTCTCTGGTGCGCCCCTGGGGGCTCGGGGGTAGCACCACAGTCTAGCGGGGGTGAGTGACAGCATCGGCGTTGTCGCCTGGCACTCCTCAGGCTGTCCTCGGGCTGACTGCAGTGAGAGGGGGACACACACACACACACGGGGTCGGAGTAGATGGGGCCTGAGGTTCGCGCCGCATCGCCGATGCATCGCCGATGCGGCTCGATGTGGCCCACTTTCTGCACGCCGACGTCGGCGATGCATCGCCGACGTCGCCGATGCATCGCCGACGCATTGGCGATGCGGCGCGGTCCTTCGACCCCGTCTACTCGGACCCCATTTAGGAGGCCTCTATAGAAGTGATTCCCCCCCCCCCCTCGGTCCCTTGGCGAGTGCCGAGGGCCTTCGACCCGATCTGCTCGGACCCCACTTAGGAGGCCTCTATAGAAGTGGTTCCCCCCCCCCCGGTCCCTTGGCGAGGGCCGAGGGCGGGGGCACCCAGGGGCTTCAAGCATCCACAAATACAGGCCGCAATGGCTCGCGGGGGCGCGAAGATAACCACGGTTCGTGCATCCCGGCCCGTGTCAGAGCGGTCGCCCTTCTTCAAGTGGGCGGCGCGATGCGCAAAGTTCGGGGATTTTGACTCCCAGGCCGCCGACGTCATAATTTGGCTCGCCACGTCGACCCCCAGAGGTCTCGACCCGTCCTCGACATCCGGCTTCTCATCTTGAGTCGTTTTTGTTGACGGCCCCGGGGCCAAGTGAGGAACCCCAGGGGCGGGGCCGGAGAAAGCGAAACAGTTCCGTCATGATATCTCTCCGACGACGAACTCGACGACGACGTCGTCCTCGACATCGGCATCCTCGACGACGGCGGAGACGACGAAGCCGACGGCAACGGCGATCGCCTCCGGGCCCGCGCCCCCCAGTCCGTCCTGGTCAAGCTGCGCTTCTGCGCCTGCGGCGGGCCCACCGAGTCCGAGGTCACAGTGGCCCCGCCCGCGGCCGCACGCTCCGCCGAGGCGGGCGCCGCCCCCACGCCTTCCTCCAGGATATCGAACTTGGAGACGTCTGGGGGTCTGGGGTGGCCCAGCATCCGCCCCAGGCCAGCAGGAAGGGCGGCGGGCAGGATCGAGGTCATGGGGTCGGCATGGACTTCTTCCGTCCTCAGCCTCTCGGGGGCCGTTTTCGGGGCCCGCGGCCGTGACAAACGGACCCGGATTGAAGAAATGCACCAGATTCGGGGATGGACAGACCTCCCAACAGTGACACGTCGATTAGTCAATTGTCCGTTTTCGGTTCTCGAGAGGGCGCCGCGGCCGTTATTTTCCAGGCTTGCGCCCGCCAGGTTTGGGCCCGAGGTCGTTTTCACTAAACCACGTTTTACTAAAGGGACGTCTGTCCATCCCCGACAGATGGACCCATAGAATGGTCCAGGCACCGATTCTGACCGGATTTGGCGTCACTTTTTCTTCTTGGCCGATAGGCCCCAACCAGTACAGACCCCCCCTGGCCGCTATCAATTTCGAACCTCCAGCTTAGGATACACTTCGCAAGAGGTTCAACATTGAATCGGCGCTGGCATATCCCTGGCTGAGGATGGGCCGAACCTGGCCTTATCCCGCTCAGTCCGGCTGGACCCTGGCCAATCCGGATGAATCCCGCTTAGTATCGTTTTCGATCCAGGGCTCAATCTGGCCCCGTCCGGCCAAATGACCATGTTAGGTAGCAAATCGGAACATGCCGCACCCTGTGAACTGCATATCTAGCGTCGATTAGCGTCGACTAGCGTATGGGAGTCGATGAGATAGCGTCGGTTTAGCGACGGCTAGCGTCGATTAGCGTCGAGCTAGCGTCGATTAGCGTCGACTAGCGGGCTGGAAACACGGCTGGACATGTGCAAAACACTTGTTTTTGTTTCAGACGGGGCTGTGAGCAGACTTGATTACGTTCTTCCCCAAAACAGTGTTTGCAGTGAGGGGGGGTCCTACTTGTCTTAACCATCTGGGACCAATGCCGTCTTTTCGTCGCCTCGCCGCCTGTCGCCGCCGTCGCCGTCGCCGTCGCCGTCGCCGCCGCTCGGGGGGAGTGGCGGCTTTAGCGGGCGGTGCCGCCCGTCGCCGCCGTCGCCGTCGCCGTCGCCGTCGCCGCCGCTCGGGGCGAGTGGCGGCTTTCGCGGGCGGTGCCGCCAGTCGCCGCCGTCGCCATCGCATAAATTGCACCGCGGAGATTGCGTTATATAGATTGCACCGCGCAGAGAGTGCATCACATAGGTTGCCGCGGCTACCCCCCCGGGATTATCCGCCCCCGTTTTGGCACTGCAATGTGCATACGATTCTGCCCCATCGCCCATCCGAAATACGAACCCGTACTATCCCAGCCGAGCTGGTATCCCCCCCGCCACACTCGTTTTTCCAGAATCAAAAGTTTGCATGAATCCGTTTGCAAGGCAAGATGACGAAGTGCACAGGCGCGAGTCGTCGCGCGCGCATGCCGACATCCTTCCAAAACTTACGGTTTCGTAAGGATTGCAAAATCAAGTGTCCCAAAAGCATAGAACAACACATGGTTTCGCAACACGGGCTTGCAAAACAAATTGGCGCGCGCGCCTTGCGAATTCTTGCGAAAACAATCGGCGCTTTATCTTCATAGATGCTACCAAACGGGCTTCGCGCGCGCGCATCTCGAACTCGTTCGAACGCCCTTGCGCGCGTGCCGTCGCGAGAATCCTGTGCAACAGAAAAGACAAAGTTCACGCGCGAGCGCGTCGGCGCGCACGCATGCCGAAATCCGTCAAAAACCTCAGGTGCCGCAGCGATTTCAAAACCGAGTGCCCAACATCATATGGAATACCATGGTTTCGTAACCACAGTGTTCAAAAACTCGCTCCCTGCGAATTCTTCAGAAAACCATCGGTTCTTCAACATGCCAAACAAGCTTCTGGCACCGCATGCCGAAGTCATTCGCACGCCCATGCGCGCGCGCTGGGGGGGCGCGATCCGCGTCACAGAATATCATGCGGGTCAGTCTCGCGCGCCGTCCGCGCGCGCATGTCGAACTCTGTCCAAAACCTTCATCACCGACGCGAGGGCGCCGTCATCGTCGTCGGTTTGATCAGTATCTGCGCCCGCACTGGCCGCGCCGTCGTCGGCGTCAACATCGCCACCGGCATCGCTACGACCATTATCGTGCCCACCGTTGTTGACGTTGCCATGATACCGCGCCCGCCCAAGTCGCCGACTGGCACTGAAGTGTCCGCTTGGACGCGCCCGCCAGTCAGCGCCACCGCGACCGCGTCGGTCGCGCCAAACTAGCCGGCTGCTGCGCGCTTGGGTCGGCGCGGTCAGCAACGCCACCAGCGTCGCTACTATCTGCACCGTGTCTACCCTCGTCGACGTTGCCATATTACCGCGCCCGCCCAAGTTGCCGACTCGCACTCAAGTGCGCGCTGGGAGGCACCCAGCGGTCAGCGTTACCGCGGCCGCGTCGAACGCGCCAAACTAGCTGGCTGCCGCGCGCGCGCATGCGCGGGCTGGCGCGGCCGCAGAGATGCACCAGCCAACGCCAAGCACTCGTCGCAACCGCCGCCGCATAGGTCTTGCAAACCAAGTTGCGGGTGGGTGGGCGGGATGTTTGCGCGAGCAGTGGAGGTGGTCAAGCGCGGCGCAGGGTCTTCAATTGCACCGCGTAGATTTTCTTTTTTACGAGAGATGGCACATAGACTCCCCCCCCCGCCCCCCGCCTTCATCGGCGCACCTTTCTGCGTTGCAATTTAAATGCGATTCTGCCCCGTCGCCCACCCGAGGCGCGAGTTCACGCCGCCCCCGCCGAGCCGGGCTCGACCATCCCCCGCCCGCCACTCTTTGCAACAAATATAGTATGCGCGCACATTCGCGCATCAAAATTCGCGTCATCAAAAGCTTTTTTTTTTTTTTTATTATTATTATAAAAAATGGGGGCGAAGTGCACGCGCGCGCGTCGTCACGCGCGCATGCCGAAATTCTTTAAAAACTTGCGGTTTGGGTCGGGTACCAAAATCTAGCGACCAGAATTTTATATTAAAAGGCAGGGTATCGCAACGCGGATGTTCAATAAAGCGCGCGCGTTCTTGTGAATTCAACGCTAGGTTTTTCAACCTCTCCAGAACATGCTACCAAACGTGCTTCGCGCGCGCGTCGAAATCGCTCGGACGTCCTTGCGCGCGTGCAGTCTCGAGAATCTTCCGCAACAAACGGGGCGAAGTGCGCGCGCGCGTCGCCGCGCGCGCATGCCGAAGTCCTTCAAAACGCTTCGGCCACATAGCGACATTCCAACCGAACGCCCAAAACACAGAGAAAAAATGTGGCATCGTAACATCAGCTTTTCAGCATAAAACATTTTGCTCACGCGCTCTTGCGAATTCATAAGAAAACCATAGGCTGTCCAGCATGTTCATTGAATTCTGCCAAACGGGCTTCCGGCGCCGCATGCCGACATCATTCGCGCGACCTCGCGCGCGAGGACGCCGTGACCGTCGTCGGCGCGATCGGCATCGGCGCCCACGCAGGCCGCGCCCTCGTCGGTGCGAACATCATCACCAGCATCGCCACTGTCATTATCGCGTCTACCGAAGCCGGCGTTGCCGCGATACCACGCCCGCCCAAGTTGCCGACTCGCAGCGATGTGCCCGCTGGGGTGCGCCCAGCGGCCAGCGCCGCCGAAGCCGCGTTGGCGGCGCCAAACCAGTTGGCCGCTGCGCGCGCGTGCGAGGGTTGGCGCGGCCGCAGAGATGCATCAGCCAACGCCGCGCATGCATCGCAATCTCTACCGCATGAATTTTGCAAACCAAATTGCGGGTGGGTGAGTGGGATGGTTAGAAGAGCGTGGGATGCGTCTACTCACCAGTCAAAATCAATTTCCAGTTTTTTGGTTTTTGTAAAGGAAAAAATTAAAAACAAATCGGTTCTACCACCCCCCCCCCCGGACTTATCGATCGATTCATTGCTTCGAATTGCAATTGACATGGGATTCTGCCCCATCGCCCATCCCATCCGAGCTGTGAATTCAGGCTATCCCAGCCAGGCCGGCATCGCCCCCCCCCCCCCCCGCCATCTTTTGCATAAATAGCATGCGCGCAAATCTGTTCATCAAGAATCTTGAGTTTTCAACCATCACTTGCAGAAAGGACGAACTGCGCACGCGCGCGCCGTCGCGCGCACATTCCGGAATCATTCAAAAACCTTCGGTTTCGGTCGGGTGTCAAAATCGAGTGTCAAAAAAACAGACATCACATGGTTTCGCAACACGCATGTTCAACAAAAACGTGCGTGCGCGCTCTTGCAAGTTCTTAAGAAAACCATAGGTTTTACCACATGTTCATAAAGTGCCACCGAACTGGCTTCGCGCGCGCACGTCGAAATCGTTCTAACTCCCTTGTGCGCGTGCTGGGGTGGCAGGATCCGTGTCAAATCATATCACGCGAGCCACTCTCGTGCGTCTGCCGCGCGCGAATGTCGAATTCTTCCCAGAATCTCCATCGCCGACGCGAAGACGTCGTCATTATCGTCGGTGTGCTCAGCATCGGCGCCGTCACTGGCTGCCTCGTCCTCGCTGTCGGCATCGTCGCCGGCATCGCTACTATCATCATCACGTCTACAATTGTCGACGCACCGCTACTATCAAAATCATCGTGTCTACAATCATCGACGTTGCCATGATACCGCGCCCGCCCAAGTCGCCGACTCGCACTGAAGTGCCCGCTGGGATGTGCCGAGCGGCTAGCGCCACCGCGTTCGCGTCGGTCGCGCCAAACTAGCTGGCAGCTGCGCGCGCGAGCATGCGCGGGCTAACGCGGCCGCAGAGATGCACCAGCCAACGCCCAGCACCCATCGCAATCGCGCCTGAATGGGTTTTGCACATCAAGTTGCGGTTGGGTGGGTGGGATGGTTGCGCGAGCAGTGGGGTGTCAAGTTCGACAAGTTAATTTTCTTGTTTGAAAAGAGAGTAGGTTCTACCACCCCACCCCCCCGGGGTTAAACCCCCCC